AACTTTCCTATATAGCCATGTTTTGTCTGTAGCTGGGTTTTGGTCAACAACAACCCAGAGCAAATCCCATAACTATGGGCGCAACTTAATTAGATGGTTTCCCGCCTCTTGACAGGAAACAGCTGAGGTGAGGAAAACTGCATAACACATAATGAAGCAGAATCTCTTAAAGCTGAATGTTGTGTTGACATTTACTTCCAGGAGTAGGCAATTCCCCTGACAACTCTGCACAATATTGCTGTTCATAATTATTGGTGGAAACGAAATAAACATGAAAAACAAGAATTTGGTGGTCCCACGTCAGCACTTTAGGGTTAAAACATGGCTCTCTCCTAAACCTAAAAGGCATATAACCATCATGGTTCCTATAAAACAATAATTAGAAGTTGGTCCCAGAGTAACGTCATTCAGAGGCAGAACCACAGGTTTTATGAATTTGCACTTAAAAAAAATTACGGTATAAAGTCCTGCTTCATGCACATGCCCAAAATTGATTTGTTCAAAGAGGACACAAACTAATTTTAATCCAATTTAGCCCACAGAAACTGGATCCCATGGTGATAAGTGTGCTACTCATGTGTAACAAAAAGGAAATGGATTGTGTTGGCTTCATTTAGTGTAATGGACAATCCGCAATGGAGTGCACTGGAGAAAAACACCAAAATGCTGAAGCCTGGATTTGGCAATTTGATCCATCATCTCAACTGTGCCATGTAAATCTTTATATATGACAATGTGAGAGCCGAGAGGTAATCAAACTTTCTCAAGAATTTTGCATTGTCCATTGTCTATCAAACCAATAAACTCCATTTAGTATGGAGTATTTCATCTGATTTAAAATTTCATTAAAAAGGTCTATCCTATAAAAAAAGCTATAATTTCATTAACATAAAAAAAACAGATCAGACAGACAAATATTATCAAATAAAGAATTACCTTCATTAAAAAAGATAAACAATATTATCTATAAGTAATCTTATTAAATTTATTGTTATGGAATTATTATGGAATTACCCCCAATTCATAAATTAATAATAAAAACTATCATAATTTATTCTCCTTCATGTCATTCCAAACCTGTATGACTTTTTTCTTCTTCTGTAGAAAATAAAACAAGATATTTTGAAGATATTTCCACTTATGGACTGTTGGAATGATGACAGAATTTTCAATTTGAGGTGAACAATCCCTTTAGAGCAAAGTTACAACAAAGTTAAGTGCTCAACTTTATGCAAATGAACTGCAATGCGATGTAGCAAATACCAATAATCGCTGGGTTAAACACACTGTCAGTGTGAAGGAGGCCTTAGATATTTCCATAAGTGTTTTAGAGTAAAACAAACACAGAATAAAGAAGATCACGGAAAACGGTTTAGTGTGGTTCTTTAAGTTTGGCACAAGTGTGCCTCATCACAAACACGTTTACCTGGCAACACCGCAGAAATAAGTAGTTCTATCTATTTACAACAAGAGCAAAAGATCATTCAGTCTTTACAAAAAGTAGATTGTAAAAGGCCGCACTATTATAGTACAATAATCATACCATTGAAAAAGGTCATTTCTGTTCACTCTGTGATGCTTTGGAGGACTGCAAGCGAGATCGTGTATTGATCACAATATTAAAATTGATTTTCTCAAAATATACTAGAGCTTTCTCACCGCAGCCTTGTAACTCTTCAGTGAAGGAGTTACAATGAGATCATTGTTAATAATGTTGGAGAGTAATAAAAAACAAACCATTATTGGAAACCATTTTCAAAGCAACCCAACAATAAGATTATAATTAAGACCATAATTTCTGAGGTTGCTCATTTGACAGGCATCTTCATAAAGAAGAGCACTGAAAAGGGGGGATGGTGTTGCAACCATCTTCCAATATCAGTTTATCAGTTGGGTACAACCAGTTCCAAGATTAATGGCTCAGCAGGCAGTGACATATTACAAATTCACAAAGAAAAGGAAGTGAAAAGGTAATTAGGCACTTTCTAGTACTTTCAACCCTCAAATAAAATGAACAAAATAAATGACATGCACACTAACACAAACATCTGAAATACCAATGCGTATCTATTTCATCCAGTAAAGCTACGATAGGCTGTTTTATCAAAAGATCCTGATAAATCAAATCTTACAAACTATAATAAAAGACACACTAAGAAAAACTACAAACCACACTGCAGAGCCTCCCACCAATCCCTCTTGTTCCCCCTGACTCCTTTCCATTTTTATCCGTTATTTCATAACATGTCAATACATAAGCCAGAGGTGACAACCTGTTCAATTAAATGGCACAGTGGCAAAATGAAATGTGATGGATAGGCATTTGGGCCCCAAGGAGAAATGTGAGCCTCCACAATCCATCCTTTGAAAAAAAACACAGCAGAGGTGGAGATAGACAGTTCCTTCCATGCAATGGAGCAAACATCAAACATTGAAGAATATATCACTGCTGCAAACCAGGATCCTGCCATACAACTGAAACCAGTTCAGTTGCCAGACCTACTGACTGGCCCATCCATCAAGAAGCCCAAGAAAATTTAACTATGACATTTGGAAGCCTTTGCACCATTGCTTTGGCTTTGATATAAATTACTGTGAGTGATAAATAGTGTTTATCAAGGCTACCCTTGGTAAAATATTTAGGTTGATATTAGGGTTACCCAAACCCTTGACATTTGGGAAAGGGACAGACTTTTCCCCCACAAATAGTCATTTTTTTAGGCATGAAATGCAGAATTTCATATTAAAGCAATGGCAGATTATGGACTGTGTGGTTAATCATGCAAAGAATCGCTCCCAATATCTTTCTTTTCCTACACCTACTGTATAGTAAACATTTATCTTTGAAAATAATGTGCATCTGTATATAATGAAACAATCCAAGTAAAATGATAGTTGAGAAATAAATTAGCAAAGATCTGGAGTGTTCAGCAAACACTCCTAATGCTATTGCTGTTGTAATGATAACGGTCAATTTTGTCTTTTATAACTGCCACCTTTTTCAGTGCACACAACGAAAGCACAGGAGGTAAGGAGGTATGAACCCGGAGGTGTACGGACTAACAAAGATGGCAAGACTGAATGAATCTGAGATTGAAATGAATAGCATTCCAATCTATACTTCCACCAAACACCTACTACACTGTGTCCCAAATCAAATACTTCCCTAGTATGCGAAAAACAGTACACCAACAGAGTAGTATGTCCGAATACATAGTATTTGAAAAACAGTAGGCGAAAAGTCCACGGATAACCTACTACTTCTGGCGAGATTCAGTGAGCATTCGTTGGACACTATTCCAGAGGCCACGGAAGAGGATTTATAAATGGAGGTGAAGCGACCCAACTGACGCTGGTTGGTCACATTATAAGGACAACATAGCGGATGTAGTACGTCCGGATTAGTTCTACATTAGCCGCGTTTCCACTGCCGGGCCAGGGCTGAGCCGTGCTAGTGCGTGCCAGAGCCAGTCGCATTTCCACTGTCACTTCCGGGGCTTGATCGGGGCTTACTCGGGGCCTACTCGGGGCCAACGTCCAGGATTTCTGGCCCGTCGAATACCTTGGGCCAAAGCGGGCCAGATCGGGCTAGAGGCGTGGTCAAGGTAAAAGGCGGAGTTTATCGGTGAGTTTATGGAACGTTATGATCTGAAGTAAGATGCACATTTCACTTTTTTATATCGCGCAAAATAATCGCTGCTCGAAATGGTGAATCGCTTGTACTGGTCTGGTCTGTCGAAGAAATCAAAGCTCTTCTGAGCATTTGGGCAGAAGAAAGGGTACAACGTCAATTTGACGGCGTGTGAAGAAACGAAGACATTATAAAATACATCGATGCTGAACTTTCTAAGCTAAGCATTCAGCGAGCAACGCTTCAAGTTCAGGAAAAAAAATTTGCGGGCGCAGTATTGTACAAGGCGATTCAAACGCACAATGGACAAAACGGAGCTCAGAGAAGGAACTATCCAAATTCCATGGTTCGACTTGATGGACGGTGTGCTGGGTCACCGTCCCTCTGTTAGTGGCGACTCGCGAGACAATCTGGACACTATTGCGGGCTGCAGCCACGGCCGGTGAGTTAATATGCATGCTATCTTCCTAACTTAAAAAATAAATAAATTCATAATACCCGCTGAAATGGGTTGGGTTGTATGACGGGGTTTAGGGCAGCGCTGCGGGGCTACTGGCCCGGCAGTGGAAACGCAAGCCCGGTGCTTGAGGCCCGAGGCCACTGGCTCGGCTCGGCTCGGGTCGCTGTTAGCCCTGGCCCGGCAGTGGAAACGCGGCTATTCATACTATTTAGAACATACTTTTTTAACGGTCGCAAAGTTCAAATGTTATACCTACTAAGACAAAACACGATTTTTGACGCAGCCATCCAAATGCAACGAATAGCCTAATGTAAGAAACCGGTAACATAGGGTGACCGTGAATTGTAACATCCTGTCTATCGTTTTTTAATTTGTGATCATGTTGATAGATGTTTAATGACATGGAACCAACTGAATCGAAGGTTCTCTTGTTTAACTTGATTCATAACATTAAAAAAATAGAAATATCATGACTGACTTGCAACACTGATCAATCTACCTCTTCTAGACCCACACATGGTATAAAATTGGGTGGTTAATAACTGTTTAACAAATTATGATTCCCATAATAAAAGCATACTTAAAATGTTTTCGTTTGGGAATCCCAACTCACCCCTACACAACACACATTGTACTTGACAGTATTTTACACAGTTTAAGGAGTAGTATTTCTCTAAACTACTGTAAATTTTAGAAAATACATATGAAATATTACATCAGCGTTTGAGACAACAAGTGCAACAGACGTTACAGAAGTCAAAACTCCTCAGTACTCAGATAATTGCGCGTATTTTAATTTCTCATTGTTTGTAAAAGACAAAACACTATCACAATCTAATAACGAGTCAAAAAAATGAAATCATACATACGTTTGGGGTTTTGTTTTGGTGGGAGCGTGCGTGTGACGTCAGGTTTGCACCTGACCTGACTGATACGCCGTGAACACGGAAGTGTAACTATCTGTTGCCTTTAGATTCAGTCATTCATCAGCGCAAACCAACATGAGTGTGTCAAATATAGTCTTTGTCGGGCTTGTGTCTTTATTAGTCCCTGCTTTGGCGCTGGATAATGGCCTGGCGTTAACTCCGACCATGGGCTGGTTGCATTGGGAGAGATTTATGTGCAACATCGACTGTGATGCGGATCCTCAGAACTGTATTAGGTGAGCGCGTGACCTGATGACGGCAAATGTGCATACTAAAAAGTATGTTATTTAGTAGTATGTATTTTAATATATGGTCTGTATATGAATATGGTAGTCATTCAGTACCATAGTATGTCAGACTATGCTATGGAATTATATCACTGTAGGCCTATCATGATTCTGCTTCAGTAATTTTTGTATGAGGAAAGTAAAAAAAAAAAAAAAAACAATAAAGAAGACAAAAAAGGAGAATCACCAGGTAAATAGGTAGTATGCCCAATGTTCATAGTTGTTATAAACATAAATTATGTGAATTTGTTAGAAAATGCATTGTGACAGGTCTGGTGATGGTCACCTAGAAAAAATAAATATTTGTCTTCACTAGTTTATTTTAAATGCTCCTGTGGTAATCAAGAATCTTTTAAAATAGTTATGTAATATAGTAGATGGAGTCGAATAGTAGATGAATTCCCAAAAATCTATTTATTACGCAAAACTGATATTTTTATGCATAAAGTGGTATTATTGGAAAATTACATGGAGACTAAGAGAATGAGGAGGAGGATGAAGAAAACTAGATACCTGAATACTGATGTCACATGAGTGTCAAGACAGCTGAAGCATGTGATGTAAGATCATTTTTTCAAGAGGGCAAAGTGCAGTTATGGGTCTCATAGAGTACTGTTTAGAACAGATGCTGTTTTCACACTTGCACTCACAGACAATCTGTCCCGTACAGTGGGCAGATGTTTGACCATGATACCCTCTTCCTAATGCCCTTGTGTGTCCAAGCAGAGAGGAGCTGTTCATGGAGATGGCAGATGTGATGGTGAAGGAGGGATGGAAGGAGGCTGGATATGAGTTTGTGTGCATTGATGATTGCTGGCCCTCGCACGAGAGGGACGCTCAGGGGCGTCTTCAGGCCGACCCAAAGATGTTTCCCAGTGGGATCAAAAAGTTGGCTGATTATGTGGGTATATGTTGGCATCATAAAAGTCTAGAAGAGGCTGCATCTGGCTCACATGTTGCATTGCCTAGAATTGACAGAATTTTTTTCATCTACTAGCCCTTATGATTTTCAGTGGAAAGTAAAATATTTCATATATTGTCAATGTCCACACAAAGCATCATATCATATCGCCTTCGAAGATGGCTTGAAGGCTCTGGTTAATATCTGCTTATGTTGAAAATGAGGGATCAAAAGAAGCAGCGCTGATATTCTGCTTAATTCTGCTTATTTTAAAATAATTTCATAATAAATGTTTGGTGTTTGTGGCAGAAAAAAAGCATACTTGGTTACAAATATGCCAATTTTATGATTTACATGATTATGTACTTGCCAATTTTATCCCTTTAATGCCTTCATGTCCACATAAATGTCATCTCAAAGGTGAATTAGCATACACTTAACTTTCCATAGGGCAATAACTATATTTAGATTTAGTTGTCATTAAGCAATATGCCATAACTTGGCTGCTCCAAATCTTTTTGTCAGTTATATATCGCCCCCTACTGCTGTCTTGCTTCTATCACAGTTAAACTCAATTATGTCTTAATGTACTATAAATTGTAAGGTAAATGTATATTTAAGAAGCTTTATTGTGTTCTCAGGTGCATGCCAAAGGTCTGAAGCTGGGAGTATATGCAGATGTTGGCAAAAACACATGTGCAGGCTACCCTGGGAGTTTAGGATACTATGATATCGATGCTAAAACCTTTGCAGACTGGGGTGTGGATCTGTTGAAATTTGACGGATGTTTCATGCCTGACTGGCATCAGCTGGGAGAAGGTAAGTGGATTTGCAAAAAAAATTCTGAGTTTTGCTAAGAAATTCTGTGTTGTATTACACCATTTGGATGTTTCTTAGGTTATATGAACATGTCGAGAGCTCTAAACCAGACAGGCAGAAGTATTGTATACTCCTGTGAATGGCCATTATATGAGTGGCAACACCAACAGGTGAGACACATGGAGATATTTTAATATAAGGTGAAGTAACTTTTTTACTTTCACAACATTGCTACCATAATGGGGTAGTCCACCCAAATATGAAAATCATGTCATTCAAGATTTGTATGATTTTCTTTCTTCTGTACAACTGATTCAGAAGATATTTTGAGTAATGTTGATAACCATACAGTTTAAGATCCCATTGACCTTCATTGTATTTTTTTATCCATAAAATGGAAGTCAATGGAATCCGAAACACACCGTTACCAACATTCTTATTTTTTGTTCCGAAGAAGATAGAAAGTCATACAGGTTTGGAACGACAGAAGGGTGAGTAAATAATGAAATAAGTTTAAATTTTGGTTGGACTATCCTTTTAAATAGAAAAAACTAGCATTTTTGTAAGTGGATTCAAATAATGCTTCAAAAAGTAGAATTCATTTTCTTAAATATTGCTTAGTAGAAAAGTGTTTTCTGTATCTTATATGTCAGCCTGACTATGAAGCAATTCGCAAGACCTGTAACCACTGGCGTAACTATGGAGATGTGTATGACCAGTGGACAAGTGTGACGGGCATCCTGGACTGGACGGCTGATCATCAGAAGATCCTGGTCCCAGTGGCAGGACCAGGTGGATGGAATGACCCTGACATGGTATGAAGCATATCATCTGATCATTTTACTGTTAAATCACAATCACAAGTTTACATTGGTAATTTAAAATAAGCTCAGTGCAGACAACTTTAAGTCATATCATATTTCTGGTTATGATGCCTCAAGCTGGTCATAGGGAACTTCGGCCTGAGCCACGATCAGCAGCAGACTCAGATGGCCTTGTGGGCTATCATGGCTGCCCCGCTTCTGATGTCCAACGACCTGCGAAACATCTGTCCCAAAGCCAAAGAACTACTGCAGAACAAATACATCATTGCCATTAACCAGGACCCTCTGGGCAAGCAGGGCTATCGTACATTAAAGGTGAAGCATCTTAGCCCACTTTAGTACCAAATTATGGTCTTTACCTACCATTTGTTTCATTACGGTATCTGTCTGTGAGCTCAGCTGGAATGCATTTATTCCCTGTTCACAGGCTGATAGTTTTGAGGTGTGGGAACGGCCCTTGTCTGGCAACAGGCTGGCCGTGGCAGTGATGAATAGACAGGAGATTGGTGGTCCACGCCGATTTACCATTTCTGTGGCAACGCTGCCTAGTTGGCAGCTCTGCAATCCGAAGTGCAACGTAACGCAGATCCTGCCCATGTACCAGGAAATGGGTGTTCAGAATCTCTTGTCAAATGTGATGGTCCAAGTCAATCCTACAGGCACGACACTTCTCACTGTCAACCCTATCAAAAGCTATACATGAAGACATGATTTGCAAAGCAAAACGATATGAAAATTCACTGTTGCACTAATGTGATCGAGTTATACTTCCTGATATTTTTTATTAAGCATTTTTTTCCTTTTGAATACAGCTATAGAATCCATGTTTTACTTGCACACTTTTTAAGTGCACACTAACGAATCAAAATTGAAAAATTATAGTTATATATCATTTGCTGTACTTTAAAACAAACACAACGCACTTTAACTCTAACACCCGCAGAGTTTATACTTACACACCTGTATTACCCAGTATCAATGTTTTCGGTTCACTAGAAATGAACTGCACTACAGAAACATATCGTCTCAGTCATCCATGATCTGTTCTACATCATATGAAGACTTACAATGTGTTTAAGGAATGCACCGTCAATTTAACATGCATAAAGAACCTCAGGGATTTTACAAATCATTTGGCAGCTTAGGGCTTGGTCTGAAATTTATGCAATTGCTATGAATCAAATAAAGCATCTGTGTAAATTTCAGTGGTACCTTTGCATTACTATAATCTGATAAGCACATTACACTTAATATATTAATCAGTAGGTTTCTGAAGCTGTACTTCAGTTTATATATCCATCTCCTCAATCTAATTCTCATGTTCTTACAAACACTTCTCATGCTGGCATAAAACACAAGTTGGCCAATAACAAGATTTTTTTGTACCAACAAATGTCAAATTATCATAATTTGATAATTGTGTTTTGTTTGTGTTTTGGGTTTTTGTTTGATGTGTTGTGTTTGAAAACATTCGGTGGTGGAAATTACATTTTAAGCATTGTTGGAACAAAATGGGTTCCACTTTTACTTTACTTTTCATACTTTTGACTCACTAAGGCTAATTTAATCATAAACACAATTATGTTCACACTTTGTTGATAATCTAAATTGATTCATTGATTGATTGATTCAATGCACACACTGTCTTACTGACATTTACACAACAAAATTTATTTAAACATAAAATAGGTTAAAACACCAATTATGTTAAATTTATTTTAAAAATAGCTCAATGCCTTTCCAATAAACTAATGAGTTTATGTGTTTTAATAACAAAGATAAATAACGTTTAACCAAGTCATAAATGGTTAACAAATTTCATTTGCTATAGTTCATGAATACATTATGTAATAGCACCACCATGTGTTTTGGAGGCGCATGACTTGTTTGCCAAGTGGGTCATAGGGTTCATTCCTGTGTCCACCACACTTGCATAAATTGGTATTGTGGCATATGACCAAAAATCACCCAAACGTTTTTTTTGGAATTATGCATTTTGTACATGAATGGTTGACATGTGAGTGCAAAACTAAGTTGTCTGTCCACTAAAATCAAGCCATTATGTACATTACCTTATTTTATTGGTAACAACAAATATAACATTCAAACCATCCAAATTTCATGTACTTTTTTTGTGAATATTTGGTGCTATAACAATTTAGAAACCATCTGTAATTGTCTTATTCTTCGAAAGAGTCTAGCAGGCTTCGTATCAATCGTATTCAGCCTTCTCAAACTGATTATCAGAGTTGTGAACAGGTCAGTTAGATGTGGCATGCTTGAGTATCGACAGAAAGTGTTAACAGCAGCCCTGCATGAGCGACCGTATGAAAATGAGCAGGAAGCAAAAGGGGAACTGAGTAACAAGAGTCCTGTGTTTGGGTGGAGTTTAGTCCAATGTTGATCACATTCACAGTCCAGTTTAATAACCTGCACTCATTCTGACTGGTTTCATCCTGGTGCCAGATCACAGTGGATAAAACACAACTTAGGTAAGATATCTTAGGTTTTTTTATTAGTAGCCGAAAACAGTTCCTCTGTCAAAGAGTAAGATTGTGCAATTTGCCATTAATTGTGACTGGTCAGACGTTGAGTAATGTTGTTGCTTGAAAAGATAGAAAGAGACTAACCAAAGCAAGACAAATGAATGCCCAGTTTCACAGACAAGGCTTAAGTCTAGTCCCAGAGTAAAATGCACGTTTGAGCTGTTTTAACTGAAACTAATTTGCACTGGCATGTCTTAAAATATTTCAGTGTCTTTGTTTTGTCTCAAGTAATGCTGTAGTAACCAGTAATGCTTTTATCTAAGGCATGTTTATAAAAGCTACTTAAATATCCTAATTTAACTAAGTCCTAATCCTGGCTTAATCTAACCCTAAATTATTAAATAAAAAGGAATTTGAGATTTTAAATACAATGTAATGGAGGGACACTCCATGATGGTGTATTAAATTGGCCTAACTAATCTATTGTAGCTCCTATTTCTTTTCTGTGCAATGCTGTTTGCACCTTAAATAATTATTATTGTTTAACTTTACTGATCTATGTAAGTAAATCAACATTACTTAACAATAATAATGGTAACACTTTACAATATGGTCTCATTTGTTAACATTATTTAATGTATTAACCAACATGAACTAACAATGAGCAATATATTTGCTACAGTATTTATTAATCTTTGTTAACATTATTTAAAAAATACAACTATTCATTGTTTGTTCGTGTTAGTTCACAGTGCATAGTCTAATGTTAACAAATACAACTTTTTATTTTAATAATGTATCACTAAATGTTGAAATGAACATTAACTAAGATTAATAAAAGCTGTAGAAGTATTGTTCATTCTTGTTAATTAATGTAGTTAACTAATGTTAAACATAACCACAGCATATACCACAGTGGTTTAAAGACACTGTTGTAGGGTTGAAAACATTATTAATGAGGGTTATTTGTAGGGTGCAGCTTTTATGCATTTATATATTTTTTCATGAATTATTTTATTCAAAGTGAAATCCAAAATAAGTGACCAAATACGAACACAAGAATCACGCTAGTGTTTTTATATTGTAGACATGCGCTATGTCACCTCTTTCAGCCAGAATGTTCCAGTGTTTTAGCAAGAATGTAGCCAAACATGGAAGATATGGGGGGACTAATTGGTCATTAAAAACTCATATTTATCAATAATTATTCTAATTATTTGAGGGAATCCTCTTCATTGTTTGTAGTGGATATAGTCCTGTTTTTAACACTGTACTATTCATAACTATAACATTTAAACAAATTTCTATTCTCCTACACACCTTTGTGGGCAATGCAGTCAGAAAATATCTAACATCTATGCTTTGCATTTGTACATAACCTAATGAAAAGAGTCCATTTTGGTGGATCTCAATGATGTACACAGATGCAAATTCAAATTCCATCGAATAACATTTACTGTCATATTCTAATGTCATTGATCATCATTTGGGACATTTAGTAGGCTATGTCCTGTTTTATATTTAATTTTAAATTATTGTTATAAGTTTTTCATTTGTTAAACCTAAACGCTTTGATTTGACAATTGGATAAGAACAAAACTTGAACTGCATTAAGATGGATTCAATTCAATTTACATTTATTTGTATAGCGCTTTTCACAAAACATATCATTTCAAAGCAGCTTTACAGAAAATGCATGTCTACATTACAATTTAGAGTGACCTGTTATCAGAGGTGACTGTCCAAGTAATGGATTTCAGAAATGTACATATAATCACGCAGATAGCTAACATTGTATTCATTTAGACAATGTATTACTTTTATTTAAGGGAGAAACAATGAGCTCATTGTGGTAATGAATACATGTTGTTAATAAAATGATTAGGATATATACCACTGTTTTCTTCAGAGCTGCTTTATAGCTGAATCAACTTTGTTTCATAATTCATCCCTGTTATTGAACTGAATTGTATTAACACTGAACTGATTAAAAGTGAATAACGACAGTCTTATGTAGAGCTGCTTATAGTTGAATTTAACTCAATTCATAATTTTACAGTTATTGAACTGAACTGACTTCAGCTGAATAATCACACTATTTGAATTGAATTCTGTCCTCATCATTGATCATTATTTTCCTGTAAAACTGCTTCATAACAATCTGTTTTGTATAAAACGTTATACAAATACATTGAAAACAATAAGCATAACATTGCTTAAAATAACTAAATGTTGCATTTGAGTTTTAATTAGCCAAGTGAATAAGCAAATTATGAACCATTGGAACCACAGAGCTGTAGATAAATTGTGGTCTAATGTGCCAGACTATCTTTTGCCCAGTTCCCTCCCTCCAAACATGAGCCATACTTGCATACTTATCATTCAGGAACCTTACAGTCGCAGGACACTCTAGAAGGTTCCTGTTGCTCAACATCACTTTCAATGAAAAGCAAGTAAACTGCTAACCATAGGGAGTACATTAATGTGTGTGCATGAGTTAATTTATGCTAAATTCTCAGCAAAAAATAACACATTAGTTATGCATCATAAATATGATTTGGCCTAAAATTAAGACGCACCTGCCCTGACACTAAGTAGGAAATTATGGTCTTTTTAAGCAGTATAGGTTCAATCAACAAAAGGTTACACTTGTGCAACATCTGCCTGGAAAAAAACCCTGATGTGAAACAGAGACAAGCTTAACAGTAATTATCTGACTCGTACGGCTTACTGATGCCGATACGAACTGTTTCCCCTTCCTCTGTATCACAGATCAACATTGATGCAACTTCCCTGTATGAAGTCTTATAAGTCATTGCCCTTTGAAAAAGTTGTCAAGCTTTCATGGTAAACAAGGCCAATACTTGTGCACTGCAGTCCTGACATACTAAACTAACACCAAACCCACACCATTATCACCCAGGTGTAGAGTGTGTTTAATACAGCAGCAGATGCTTGTGCTATTTTAATAGTAAATTATTAAGATATAGTATCGACTCAAATATTAAGTGCCGGTGATGTTCGTATTTGTCACATAGCCTACTATAAAAAGTGTTGAACTTAACTTGTCACTTTTTGTGACAAGCTTTTGAAGGTGTCAAAAGGCGGTGGTGGTGGCAGAAGAAGAAACCAGGAAATGCTTGCATGGTGTTTAAAAAAGACAGTTTAGTTTCTCTACCACAGAGCACAGACGACTCAGCATTTAACAGCTATGTGAGAGAAGCGTATTGCAGAGGCACTGAAAGTGATGAACAGAACTAACTGAGGTGTTTTAAAGGACACTGAGATACAGGTAACTTTACCAAATGCTTCTCTGGATTAAAACGTGTTATTTATGGCACTTTTAATCAGAATACAAGAAAGATATTAGGATATTAAAAAGGTTTTGAGCAAAAACCAGTCAACCTTGTAGAGGCTAATCTTTATTGACTCATGTAAATGTGTGAAGTTACATTAGGTTAGTGATTGTAGTACAAACCTAAAAGCTGTATTCAGTTAAAAAGTTCATCAACAAGGTAATTCAATGATTAACAAATGCTTTTTCCCCTCAACGCATTCTTTCTCATCCATTTACTGGATTCAATGGGGCCCTTATGATGTCGTGTAATGTTAAGAATGAATGTCAAAAAGTAGTGCGATGTATTTGTTTTGTACTACATAAATATTTCAAACTTCAATACTGAATAAGAATATTGTTCCCAAGACCTCTTGCTATTGCATTAAACTACGACGCAGGCCTTTAGGAGAGAAGGATGTGAATGTTTAGTTTTGGTATGTAGATAATTACATGATGCATGTGGTTGTAGGTTCACAGCTTAGATCAGAGCAGGAAGAAGCATTCATGATCTACAGGAGGAAATATTGGCAACAAAGGATGTCATTGACACTGACAGGAGGGCTCATGCAAACCATTTCTAATCAGACACTGCCCTCCTAAATCCACCTTTAGACAAGCAAAATTATTGTACAGATCTGTTGGAAAGCTGGATGTAGCATAAATGCTACCATTAGATACTAACAGTTGGATATTAACATCTGGAAGCAGAGAGGTTTGACTGCAGAGGACATAAAAATAAATGAACAAAACCAAATAAATATTGACATATTTAAATGCTAAATACCAGTGCTGTGAAATCGATTAATCGTGAATAATCGCATCTAACATAAAAGTTTGTAAATATATGTGTGTGTGTGTGTGTGTGGTGTGTGTGTGTGTGTGTGTGTGTATATACATACATACACACACACACACAAACATATATCTATTTACAACCTTTTATGTTAGATGCAATTAAACGATTTGACAGCACTATATAATACATATGTACCAACACCAATTGTTACTCATCACTCAAAAAGTTAACTACCATGAAATCAAAGATGAAGACATGAAATATGTTCAACATAACAGTTTGTTTTTTTCCCCCTAAATTCACACAGATTAAAAACATTAACATGCCAGACAGCATTCTGGAGGAGATTTTTATAAAACGGTCCCAGCAGAAGAAGAAGACCTCACCTTTAAACTTCAAAGAAAGGCTGTTTGTACTCACTCAGGACAAAATATCCTACTACGACTATGACGTCGAAAAGGGGGTATGTATGTATTTTACATTTTCTTACATTAGGAAAATAACTCTTTATTTTGACATGAATTGGAAATTCACTCTATCTATTTTCAAAATGCATCTTATTGATCTTATTCTCGATAATCCATTTCACTTGGATGTACGTCACAATACGGAAGAAACGATCTAACGCTACTTCCGCTACATTGTGACTTTAATATATTTACTTTTTTTTTTTTTGCGATTTTGATCTTTTTAATATCATAATCCTACTGACTGTTTAGAAGAGGAAAAGCCTGAAGGGTTATGTGGACATTGAAAAGATCAAATGTGTGGAGATTGTTTTACCAGAAGACAGCGGACCTCCTGACCGACTCTTCCCATTTCAGGTGGGTCTCTACAAATACTAAGACATTTAAAACCATTCAAGACTACACATTCTTGTTCACCAACTTCAATGGGAACTCTATGTTGGTCATGTGAAAATTTCTAAACATTTTAATGCGCATTCTATGTGTATTTACTGGAGTCATGTTACTTCCACTTCCCTCATTAATATATTGAATATAATCATGTCTTCCTTTTCAATTTAAATATAAGTGTCGTTGTATCTCTACTAAAAGTTTCAGCATTAGCTGTCTAGTAAATATATAACATCGAACAACATCGAAACAGTACTGAGCTGATAGAGTGCAAGAAGAAACACTGCTCAAGAGTCAGGATTTCAACCATGATAAGAGGCTAAGAGTAATGGAGCAGAAGTGAAACCTTTCCTCTTCAAAGTCTGAAATCAGAGGAACAACAGAACTCAACAGGTGTTGTCTGTAAAATTGCTAGGCAGACAAAAACACTGTAGGCTAGCTAGCTTCAGCAACTTAAGCACAAAAAGTGAGTTTTCCATCTTCAGACAGACCACCGACAAACAGAAAGGGCACCAGGAAATGAATGTCAGACAATAACATTTTGTGGTTTTAGTTTTCAGATTAACGCTTAAAATTATGAGCTATATATATATAAAGTTACTTTTGATGAAAACCTGTATGTCTACTTTGCAACCTTTAAAAAAATAGCGCTAAAAAGAAACTAGGTGCAATAAACAACTGTACAGTAAATTGAAGGGATAGTTCACCCAAAATGAACATTCTGTCATAATGTTTACAGGTTTGGAACAACTTGAGGGTGAGTAAATGATAACAGAATTTTCATTTTTGGGTGAACTATACCTTTAAGCTACAAAAGAAAAAGGAAATATTTGGCAATAATAGATTATGTTGAAATGCAACAGTTCATCTATAGGCCAAAGTCATAGCCTATATAACTTTGTATTGTGATGTATTTTTCTTTTCTCTCACAGATAATCTATGACGAAGGTCCCCTTTATATATTTGCAAAGTCAGATCAAATTCGCAAGCACTGGATACATGAACTAAAAAATGGTCAGTAGCCTATTTATTTTAAGCCATTATCACAAAGTCCATTCAAATTAGTGAGCCACCTTTATGTGGACTACATTATAGAAAAGATAAAGAGAAAAGTATGAATGTTTCCCATAACACAACATTCAAGGCCTATGCAAAACTCTGTTTATTCAATGTAAATGGTTTCCAATGTACCTGTCTTAAAGTGGTGCAGTCCAACAAGGACCTTATTCAGAAGTACCACCCATGCTTCTGGGAAGATGGCATATGGAAGTGTTGCCAGCAGGAGGTGAAGCAGGCCATGGGCTGCAGGGTGGTGGAGACCAAAAATGGAGGTCTGTAAAACTAACTAAAGTGTGAAAATAAATTAGAACACTGCTGCCGCATTTCAACAATAAAGTTCAGAACGTTCGTGTCCGTTAACAGTTCTCACAGGTTGATTTTTCCGCCGAATCGTAAAGAAATTACAGCAATCTTCTCACAGTGTTTCCCTCAATACATCGGCGTGTAGTCCAAACCCAATGAATGACTCTTTCTAGCCAGTTATTCTTAATGAATCAAAAACATAGCACAACCAGTCTGGGCAACCATCTCATCCTTTGACAATGGAATGTTATTTCTTCCAAATATGTATTCCCTAAATGTAGGCTACTCAGAGAGTTTAACTGAACAACATATAGATTCACAATAAAGATTCTTTGCGATTTCCAACCGTATTCAGCAAGGCATCACTGCATCATCAATTCAATATTTAATAGTTAATGCTAATTAAACTGCATTTATATTTATTCAATGCATGTCCATATTTATTTCCCTTCTTCTAAGGGGTTTTCAAAAGAGGTACCAAGAATCGTGATTCCAGAAAGCCTCTTCCACCAACACCTGAGGAGGTCAGTTGCCAGTCTATCCAGTCAGTGATAATATATGCATAATGTCAGATTTATCCTTTAGAAATGATCTGTTACTGTCCTGCTTTAGGAAAAGCCACCCAGGCCTCTACCCCCCCAACCACCCATGCTCCCCCCAAGCTTCAGTGTGGGCATGACTGTTATAGCTGAATATGAGTATACACCAGTTACTCCCCATGACCTAGAGCTTAGAAAAGATGAGGAGTACACACTCTTAGAAATCAACGACCCCAATTGGTTTAAAGCCAGAGATGGATATGGGTAAGAGACTGCAAAATGAATTAGTAGCTACATGACTACCCTAGTGAAAAATTCATTTACCAAAATGTACGTATTTAAAATAAATGTATTTCATACTAAGTATAATACAAATCCAATTAACATATTTACTCACATATTGCTTGAGACTTACTGATATAAATTGTATTAATTAATTAAACTTTATTTGAAGTACTTTTTTATTGCACAATGCACATTTTTTTATATTAATTAAGCCTAAAATGTTTAATATCACTATTAGTAAGGATAGTGATCTCTGTAAAATATCAGTCAAAATATTTCAATATTCCATTATAATAAGACTAGAAAATATTTAACGTGTACTTAGAATAGTATGTATAAGTATTTCTTTAGCACTATTTCTTTATGCACTAACTAAAGTGCATTAAGTTCAAAATTAGTTGTTCCAATTTAGCAGACTTATGTATATCAATTTAGCAATTTATATAAAGTACATACATATGTAAATGTATTTGTAGTATACTTAGTATAAAATAAATGTATTTCAAATACATTTTAGTATATTTATTTTTCACTATGGTTGTAATGCATGATGTATCTGTTGTAGACATCAAGATTGTCTAAATGTGCAAATGGAGAATGTATTTTATAAACACATGAACTGCTGTCGAATTATTTGCATATCTGGGGAAACTTTCACAGGCTGTGGGCGATATGTAGTCAGGTGGAACTAGCTGTGCAATCAGGACTGTTTTCTTAGATACGAAAAGCATTACTGATCTCCTACACTGTTTACAGAAATGAAGGCTACATCCCAAGTAACTACATCGCTCAGGCCTTGAATGGATTGGAGAAATATGAGTAAGTATACATTCAACAAAATGGAAAACTACAGCTTTCTACACTAGTTAGAAAAGGTGAACAATTTAGAACCTTATAAACACAGTTCAACCACATTTTAACAGATTATTTCCTATCTATCTTGTAGTTGGTACTGTAAGAACATCAACCGCAGCCAGGCAGAGAATTTACTGAAAACAGAAGTAAGTATAGAGGAATGGTGGAAATCAAAAACATAAATGATTTATCATCATCAGAAAAAAACAAACTGTATGATTGTAATAAAAAGCTATGTTTCTAACATTTATTTTGTAGGTTGAATTCGGATAAAATGTAGCCTTTTTACTTGAATTCAGCATATTGCCTATATTTGTTTAATGTACAGTATGTGTACTGAAATGTTACCTTTCATAATTTAAAAAAAAAAACAGAATAAAGATGGCGGTTTCTTGGTGAGAGACTCGGGCAAATTCACTGGAAAATACACTGTCTCTGTGTTCTCCAAGGCTGGTGGGTGAGTTTGATCAAGCTACACATTTGTTTCACAGGTTAACTTATCAAAATGAAAGTGGAACACTGACCCTACGGAAGAGAGATGTAAATCTATCCATGCAAAACTAGGATAAGTTCTTTCACAGTTCAAGTTTCACACTGTATAAATTGTCACGAGAATGCATTGTTGCTCTCTCAAATTCTTTGTGAGACAGATTTAAGGTTTGACTTGAATCCCAAGTGATTGAACTTCATTTCTGGTCTCTCTCCAGGGACAATGCTTGCAGTTGCAGACACTACAACATATGCGTCACTGCAGAAGGCCAGTTCTATCTAGCGGAGAAACACAACTTTTGCAATATCCCAGAACTTATTAATTACCACCAGCACAACGCAGCAGGTAAATCTACTCGCATGTGAATACACAATGACAAATGATGGCTCTAAATGTATTTAATCAAAGCAAATATGTCTGTTTTAGGACTAGTGAGCAGACTAAAATACATTGTGTCAAATCGGGCTCAGAATGCTCCCTGCACTGCTGGTCTGGGTTATGGTAAGTTTATATTTGTTAGAGCATGGCACTAATAAGGCCAAGGTCATACATTTGATTCCTAGGGAATGCATGAACTGATAAAACGCATACCTTGAATATAATGCTTTGGATAAATGCATCTGCTGAGTATATAAATGTAAACATATATAAGTGTAAATATTTGGCTGTATGGTTTTAAGAGTTCTTAATGGTGTTGATTAAAACAACATGCTAAAATTGCCCTCTACTTTTCATTCCAGGAAGTTGGGAGATTGACCCCCGTCAACTTACATTTATCAGAGAACTTGGCAATGGTCAGTTTGGAGTGGTCAAGTATGGGAAATGGCAAGGCCGCCATGACGTGGCCATTAAAATGGTCAAAGAGGGCTCAATGTCGGAGGATGACTTCATAGAGGAGGCCAAGGTCATGATGTAAGTAGAAACTACTGTTCAAAAGTTTTAAAGTTTTTTTTTATTTGTTTAATTTGTTTATTTATTATTATTATTCAGCAAGGATTTCGCATAAAGGATGTTCTTTTGAACTTTCTATTCATTAAAGAATCCTAAAAAAAAAAAATTCCACAAAAATATTAAGCAGCACAACTGTTTTCAACATTGCTTATAATAAGAAATGTTTCTTGAGCACTGAATCAGCATGTTAGAATGATTTCTGAAGGATCATGTGACATGATGCTGAAAATTCAGATTTGCCATCACAGGAATAAATGTTTTAAAATATTACAATTTTAAAATATATTTAAATAAAACACAGTATTAAATTGTAATAATATTCCACAATATTACTCTTTTAACTGTATTTTTGATTAAATAAGCCTTGGTGAGTGTAAGAGATTCTTTCAAAAACTTTAATTTTGAACAGTACTTTTTCTCCATCTGTGATTGTGATTAAAGTTGTTAATACACTTGATTATTCATTGTCAGTGTTTATAGCCTGCTTTTCATTCAGGTTTATTTCTCTATAATATAATCATTTTCTGCTGTATAACACTAGGAAACTCTGTCACGAAAACCTGGTCCAGCTCTATGGCGTCTCCACAAAACAACGACCCATCTATATAGTCACAGAATATCTTGCCAATGGATGTCTGCTGAATTACTTACGAGAGAGCCTGCAGCACCCCTCCAGTATTCTTCTCCTTGAGATGTGTAAAGATGTCAGCGAGGGCATGGCTTACTTAGAGGCCAATCAGTACATCCACAGAGACCTGGTTCGTGTAACAAAAATATTCCTCAACTGGAAGAGATATTTTACCATTAAAATTTCCAAAATGTTTTTTTTTCTCATAGGCTGCTCGGAACTGTTTAGTAGACTCAAATGGAACCATTAAAGTGACTGATTTTGGATTGTCAAGGTAATTGAATACATGGCGGACAACACTATTTAAGCAAAATTCGCCATACTTTCTCTCTGCATAGAAATCATTGCTGTTCACACAGGTATGTTCTGGATGATGAATACACCAGCTCTGCTGGTTCAAAGTTCCCAGTGCGTTGGTCGCCTCCTGAAGTCCTCCTTTACTGCAAGTTCAGCAGCAAGTCAGATATTTGGGCATTTGGTGCGTCAATTACCACTGCATTTCCAGCATAACTTTACCTTCTGTCAAACCAACTGTTTCATTTTCTCTTTTGTTATTTGTCTGACAGGTGTTTTGATGTGGGAGATATACACTCTGGGCAGAATGCCTTATGATCGGTGGAACAACACAGAGATAGTAGAGAAGATTTCTGCTGGTCACCGGCTTTATCGCCCACAAATGGCCAATGACAAAGTTTTTTCCATTATGAACAGCTGCTGGCATGAGGTAGACAGCTTTATACTAATAGTCAAAACATTTTGTGAATTAAAACTGTTATCTATTAATGCAAATTTAAACATGAGAGTAAAGTTTATGCCCTCTCTTTTTTGTAGAGACCAGATGAGCGCCCCACGTTCGTAGATCTTGTCATGACCATCAAGGATTTGCTTTTCAATATGTAATCGACGTAACTACTGTGCCCCCTTGAACATTAAGGATACAGTCCACCATATGCAATTGAAAGAATCATTATGTAACTTGTCTTGAATAACCTCCTCAATTAATTTCTTTCAACTAAGAACCCAATAATGTGAATGCTGTTTTACACATGTCTTTGATCTTTTTTTTTTTAGTTTAAATTGTTGCAAGAAAAAAATGGAGATTGGAATGTGATTTCTCATTTAACATTGCAGTCTTACAAGCTATGTTGTATTTAGTCTATAAACCTCCCCTCAGTTTCATATTTAAATCAAAAGCTATCTTTAATATTATTTATAATAACCAGGAGCAACAACAATAAAAATTTAGGACTGTATTATAGATAATGACTGTGGCTGTGTACTGATATACAAAAATATAGCTATAATATATATATATAGCTAAGTAGCTAAACTTTAGTAAAACAATCTCTAGAAATATTCCAGGCTTGTAGTGTAAATATTTATTCAAATCACGTTATCTCCGGTGGTTGAAATCTGATGGATATTTAATTAAGGACTAAACTTTGTCTCTTTTTCATCTATCTGTGTACTGAATAAAACAAGAGCAGTTTCCAGTATTCCTCTGGCTCCAGTCATACTCTTTTATTCCTATTCAAATTACATGCATTTGTCACCATTAATGTCAGTAAACACTTAATTAGAGTGAAGATTCTTTTACATTGAAACATCATTTTAATGAAAACTTTTCTACATTAAAGAAGTATAAAATGGTCTTATCTCTCCCCACCTGGTCCAAACTAACCTCCAACATTAATTTCCACATTAACACTTTACAATAAGGTTTCATTAGTTAACATTAGTTTACCTGAACTAAGAATGAACAATACTTCTACGGCATTTATTAATCAGTTAATTTCAATATAACTAACATTATTCAAATCAAAAGTTGTCTGTTAGTTAATGTGAACATGAACAAAAAATGAATGACTGTATTGTTATTAACTAACATGAACAAATATTAAGAAATACTGTAACAAATGTATTGCTCATTGTTAGTTCATTTTAGGTAGTACATTTAGTAAAGGTAAATGAAACCTTATTGTAAAGTGTTACCAATGTATTTATTTTTTTATTTGATCATCTATAACTGTTGTTGTTTAAAATACAAACTGCTGATTTTAAACTGTGGAAAATGATCTAAATGAAACACAAAAAATAATGTTTACACACTTGAGGAGTTTCAAAAGCAGACATTTGACATAAGTTCACCAAATTCATGTATAAACCACATTATCATCTGTCTCAGAAGGGTTTCGTTTAAAGAACAGATAAATTCTCCAAAATGTCCAGGGCAGGGGACTGTCAATGTTTGACAATAGGGAAGGGAAGTTATAATAACAATATCTGGCAACCAGGGTTACAGTCACTTCACCAGGAAGTTTATTCACACGAGACGTAACTGCCACCGATGGACGATACGAATGCAAGGTTAGTCAATTTAAAAATGATTTATATTTCAATAGTCTTTTAAATGTAGTCTTAAATCTTAATATGAACCGTAACATGAAACAACAATGCCTCCTAGTGTAAAATACATTAAAGCTTAGTGCACTAACCAAAATCGACCTACATCATTCTAAAAAGTAGCTTTCTCTCTTTGAAAATGCTGTGATCATGCATTTCCTGTCGTTATAAATGTTTAGAGCAGATAAACAAATAGTCTACAATGAAATCTTAAGTTGTTTTGCTTTGAAGTACTGGCAATGTGAAAAGCTGGAGTCACATGAGTCACATGATTTGCTTCCTAATATATTCTGTGGCTGTTTTTTAACTAGTGTGTTGCCTACCTAGACAGAAAGCTGTGGTTATCTATGCCCAAAAATGCTATTTAGGTAGGCAGCTCACTAGGTTTGTTTTAGACAGACCCGCCGATGTAACTAAAATATCTAATAGCCAAATGTAATATCTAGTCCTATTATAACTGCTGCGTTCAGATGGATGCTGCAAACCGCACTGACTTCTACATTGGGTTGGCGCTTGCTGTAAGTTCCACTATCTTCATCGGTGGCAGTTTTATATTGAAAAAGAAAGGGCTCTTACGACTGGCAAAAACAGGCTCTACTAGAGCAGGTAGGTGATTGAAATTTACCGAGTACCATTGCACAATACTTCATTATACAGTATGTGAATTGCATCATTTTTTTATGCTTTTGACATTATGATTGATTATTTCCTTTTTCTTGTGCTATCTAATCAGATCTGTTCTCTCCACTATTCAGGTCAAGGTGGATATGCATACCTGAAAGAATGGCTGTGGTGGGCAGGGCTTATATTAAGTATGGCATTATCATTTTATCTATTTATTTGTCATAAGTAAAGCTGAATTATAAGCAGAATATGGACCTTAATCAGATGTGCATGTAAATATTATCAGTGTATGTGGATTTATAGATCTTAGTAATGACTAATGAGAGATTGCTATCTACACAGTACACATTAATATGTCATTATGAACACCCTAATCACATTCTTTTGTCTTGTCATGTATTTTATTTTTAGTGGGAATAGGTGAGGCAGCGAATTTTGCAGCTTACGCATTTGCACCTGCTACGTTAGTAACACCCCTGGGAGCATTGAGCGTCTTGGTCAGGTAAATTTACCTAGTAGTGTACACCACCTTTCAAAAATTATAGCATTAATTGCAGTCACAGATTGAGATACACTACTGTTCAAAAGTTTGGGGTCAGTAAGATTTTCAGCAGTAATTATTACTCCAGTCTACAGTATCACATGATCCTTTAAATTAGAATGCATTCTAATATGTTGAATTGGTGCCTAGGAAATATTGCTTATTATATATTTTTTATTTTTCTGATTATTATTTTTGTCGAATGATACATTTTTTCAGGATTCTTCGATGAATAGAAAGTTCAAAACAACAGTATTTATTTGAAATAGCATTTGTTTTGTAATGATATAAAAGTCTTTATTAGTACTATTAGATTAATTTAATGCATCCTTGCAGAATAAATTTATTTTTCAAATAATTTCTTTAAAAAATCATATTGGCCCCACAGTTTTGGGGTTGTACAGGTGTGTATAGTCTCAAAGGAACATTATTTCTTCGTCTAAAATATGTTTTTTACTAAATGTACAACCTTTTTCATCAGTGCTGTGCTCTCATCATACTTCCTGAGTGAGCGGCTGAATATCCATGGGAAAATTGGCTGTTTGCTTTGCATCTTCGGTTCCACAGTAATGGTGCTCCATGCTCCACAAGAGGAAGAGGTTGCTTCTTTGACAGCGATGGCAGAGAAACTCAAAGATCCAGGTTAATTTACAAATACACTTTGGATGCCAAAGAGACCCTAATTTACAAGTACACCATGGCCCCCTGTGAGCTCTGTACTGTTTTTTATAACGGTCGTCTTTCTTGCATGTATCACAGGATTCATCGCTTTTGCTGTCTGCATTGTCGTGAGTAGCCTGGCCCTGATCTTGTTTGTCGCACCTCGCTATGGTCAGAAAAATGTGCTGGTGTACATCCTCATCTGCTCTGTGATTGGTTCATTATCTGTGTCCTGTGTGAAAGGCCTTGGCATTGGGATCAAAGAGCTGTTCGCTGGTACAGCTGTTCTGAAAGAGCCACTGTTTTGGGCTCTGCTCATATGTCTTGTGATCTGCATCAGTATCCAGATAAGCTACCTTAATAAAGCCCTCGACATTTTCAACACCTCTATAGTTACACCTATTTATTATGTCTTCTTTACTGTATCCGTCATGGCTTGTTCGGCCATCTTGTTTAAGGAGTGGCTTCGAATGTCCACCGATGGGGCTGCTGGGACTGTTAGTGGCTTTCTTACCATCATTATTGGCATTTTTCTTCTTCATGCGTTCAAGGACATTAACTTTAACTTGGATTCTCTACCTTTATATCTGCACCGTGGACCTCAAGGCAACGCGTGGAGCCAACCTTACGTGGCTTTGCCAACCGACGTGACGATTACTGTGGACGAAAGCAATCTGACTAAGGAAAGAAGCGCAAAGGGCTTTTCCCCAGAGAGTTTAGACAAGAGGAGCAACGGTACATTTTTTTTCTAGAATAATATTAGCAAAAATACTGATTTACTACATGCTACTGTACAAGCATACTTTGCAAACCATACATACTGTGAGAGTACCTAATTTGTATTTTGTGTGTGCGTGTGTTTTAGTATACAAGATACTACTTACATATTTTCCAACAATAATATTTAGTTTTAGTTTCACGCTGTTGATATTTTCAGAGTAACGATGATGTGCCCAGTCACTTGTTTTAAATACAAAATCCTGAAGTAGCAGCATAATGTTTAAAAATCTGCTCTACAATCTTGTTAAATGTTACATTATTTATTCTATGACCAAACCAGCATTGTTTAGGATATGCGTATGATTACATTCATATCAAGCACTTTAAATTTATCAGCTTAATATTCAAGGCCTCATCTGTTCCATAAATACACAATATTATTTAATGCAATGTGCTTGACTTCCATCATTCAAAAGTTTGGGGTCAATAAGATATTTTTGATTGTTCTGAAATATAGTATTTTATGCTCACCAAGGCTGCATTTATATGTTCAAAAATACAGCAAACAGAATATTGTGAAATATTCTTACAATTTAAAAGTACTGTTTTCTGTTTTAATATATTTTAAAATTGATTTTATTACTGTGATGGCAAAGTTCAAAACAGTTCAGTTCAGGATAGAAAGTTTAAATTTATAGTACATTTTCAACATTTGATCAATTTAATGCATCCTTGCTGATCAAAGTAATAATTTCTTTTTACGTATAAAAAAAAAAAAACTGACCCCAAACGTTTCAACCGGTTTCAACGTAGTGTAAATGTCCTATACTGGTGTTCGGGAACATATTGGTATATTTGAAAAATGTTTTCTTAAGCAACAACTGAACTTAAGAGGTGGTGCATTGTTTTCTATATATATTCTATGTACATAGTGCTTGCTAAGCTATTTTAATACATAGTGCCTGCTAAGTTATTTTAATAAATATGACACCGAAACCTCTAAGAAGTCTCATTAGTATTTATTTAAGGAGGTTGAGCATTTTCTAACTTGAACTCTGCTTTCTCCTGTGACATTTTTACACATCATATGAATAAACTGCAGAGTATGTTGTCTTTTTATTTCAAGTTCACATTTCAACAGACACTTTATAAGCCACAGATCTTGAAACAATCAGTAAGACGATGCATTGTACTATACTTGGTAATGTACTTTGAAGGGAAATGCAGAGCCTCTTCCTCAATTCCAGATCAGATCTGTACAATATGATCAGATCAGATCTCCACAATATGTACTAATTTTCATACCAAAATCTTAGAACTGGGAAATGTCAATTATATCGATGGTATGATAAGTTGGGCTTTCTATGGGACTGCACATGCATCCATTTGATTTCGAATACATGGCCTTCAAAATAATAGAGCAAAAAGAGGCACTTTTGTCTTTGATAAATTAACTGAATCCTGTATAGCGGTTGCCTCACAGTTTTTGTTGGCATGACAAATCCTCAATAAGTGGCTGTAGTTCTACTAGTCTGTCATGGTCTCTGAGAATGTTCCTCTACTCCTCTGAGTTTGCTCTAGTCTGTTGAGGATGAATTGACTTGTATCGATGAATCGTTCCACGCAGTTTACAAAACACACCTCTGTCCTGGAGTCGAGCTTTGGACCAGGCTTATCCATGCACTTCTCCTGCAAAGACAAACACACTATGAGCTCCAAAAAACCCCACAACTGATGACTTTGCTGAATTTGTGTGTGTATGGGACGTGACGGTGAGGATATTTTCCCACCGGTTAATCGACGTGTCACGTGTGACATCACCGGTATCACCGGCGGAGGCTTTTAAATCTCTAATTTAAAGGCAAACGTAAACTGCGCCCGTTTGCACGGGCATTCATAATGGTGCGCACTGTTTTGTTATTGTGCCCTGAATAGGCACTAATTTGAAAACTAAACTAACACGTACACGGCCGCACGTCAACCGAAGCGGAGTAAGCTGAACATAGCGAGAATTTTTACATAGGAATAAACTGAAAACGCTCGCTCTGTTCTGCTCGCTCCGCGCCCGTTGACACGTGTGGCCGTGCACATTTTAGATTCGTTTTCAATTCGGCAAATGCTCCAACTTTAGCTTAGGAGGAATGGAATAGACAACAGGTCGAAATTATAGGCAATTAGCAAGACACCCCCAATAAAGGAGTGGTTCTACAGGTGGTGACCACAGACCACTTCTCAGTTCCTATGCTTTCTGGCTGATGTTTGATCAAATGCTGATGTTTGATCAATTGATCAAATGAGATGCTTTCGACCTGTTGTCTATTCCATTCCAAACGTCCTGCACGGTGTTGGGCTGTAAGCACAACTCCCACCTGTGGACGTCGGGCCTTCATACCACCCTCATGGAGTCTGTTTCTGACCGTTTGAGAAGACACATGCACATTTGTGGCCTGCTGGAGGTCATTTTGCAGGGCTCTGGCAGTGCTCCTCCTGCTCCTCCTTGCACAAAGGTGGAGGTAGCGGTCCTGCTGCTGGGTTGTCGCCCTCCTACGGCCTCCTCCATATCTCCTGATGTACTGGCCTGTCTCCTGGTAGCGCCTCCATGCTCTGGACACTACGCTGACAGACACAGCAAACCTTCTTGCCACAGCTCGCATTGATGTGCCATCCTGGATGTGCTGCACTACCTGAGCCACTTGTGTGGGTTGTAGACTCCGTCTCATGCTACTACTAGAGTGAAAGCACCGCCAGCATACAAAAGTGACCAAAACATCAGCCAGAAAGCATAGGAACTGAGAAGTGAACTGTGGTCACCACCTGTAGAACCACTCCTTTATTGGGGGTGTCTTGCTAATTGCCTATAATTTCGACCTGTTGTCTATTCCATTTGCACAACAGCATGTGAAATTGATTGTCAATCAGTGTTGCTTCCTAAGTGGACAGATTGATTTCACAGAAGTGTGATTGACTTGGAGTTACATTGTGTTGTTTAAGTGTTCCCTTTATTTTTTTGAGCAGTGTATATACGGTATATCAGTTTCCACAAAAATATTAAGGAGCACAACTGTTTTTAACTGATAATAATAAGAAGAATTGTTTCTTGAGCAACAAATCAGCATATTAGAATGATTTCAGAAGGATCATGTGACACTAAAGACGATGCTGAAAATTCAGCTTTGACATCACATGAATAAATTACATTTTTAAATATATAAAAAACCGGCTACTTTAAATAATAATCATTTGTCTTTACAGTTTTATTGTTGTATATTTGTTCAAATGAATTCAGCTTCGGTGAGCTGGGATGGGAAACGAGAAGAACCCCAAAGGGTCACAAGCTCCGCGACTAAAGAGGGCAGCACCTTAAATTAATTGCTTGAACTACTGAAACATCTTCCAAATCCACAGATCATACATACTAGGACAGGATATAACTGTGCAGTACAGCCTCATAAACCTCTTTACGCAGCCCAATAGGACAGAAACACACTCACCCAGCACACTTCTGTCATCTGATGAACTAGCTGCTGAAACCTCTGCTTTTGAGACTCGATCTCGATAAACTGCTGCAGCTGAGGGTCTGCCGTGACTCCTTGATTATCCATTGGGGAGAAGAATAACTTAATGGTGATATCTGACCACTGTATACAATGTCCCAGCACTACGCTGACCTTCACGTGTCTCGATAGCCAGGAACCAGAAGAGGGGAGCACCAATAAGAAAGCGTGAAATCAAGAGGAAACGGATATGACTTGCGGTTGCAGGCGGAAGTTGTAGAATCCATAGCAGGACAAGGGTGTTAAGGAACAGTAAGGTTGGTGAGCCGAAAAATATTTTCTTGCCTTGTATTTTGACTATAGTGAGTTAATAGATAACGACATTATCTTAATTAAGCGACGTAATGTATGTTTGGGTGTATAAATGTGTGTGTGTAAACAGAGACAGTGCGATTGAGTTGAATGTCAAGCAAGGTCTTACAGAAAGCTGCTAGCCTAGCCCCGTAACGCTTATAAATGTGACTAAAATGTTCAGTGAGGTTTCTCTGCACTCCCCGTCAATTAATGGTAATAAAGTAACCATTTAATTGATATGATTTTAAGTAACGTTAACTATATTCATTCTTGTCTGCCAGCTTTGCCACATGTACAAGTTACGCTTGAGTCTTGTTTATCAGTGTAATATTGCATTTATCAATCCGTTACTTAATGAGTAAATTATGCTGACTTAAATAACGTCTTTTCGTACAATATCAAATTCCACCCCACCCCCATAGTGAATTTTATATGCTACATTATGTTGCATTTATATATTTTACAGTTTTATATTCTAAACCTGATTTTGTACAAATACAGCTGTCTTGACTTGACTAGTTTATTCAAATTAACTTATTGAATAGATACAACAAAGAATCGACTATACCAGTTATTAGAAGAGATACTTATAAACTTGTTATAATTAATTCTATGAATTAGCAATATTATATTTAAAATGCATGTATAACATTTTAAAGTACATAAAACATTATCCCATCAGTTAATTTAAAGTTAAACTGTTTTCTTTTGTAATATATTTTAAAATGTAATTTATTCTTACTTTTTTATATATACAACAGTTAAAATGTATTCAAATTGAGTCAATTATTGACAGTTAAATGTTGTTCTTGTGTAGATACTACTGTATGCTTATTTTATTTTAAATGTACTAAATTGAACCTTGATTTTTCATTTCCCTTAGATCAGTTTTCTTGGCACAATGGGTCGTCACTTCGGAGATTTGGCCAAGATAAGGCATGTGATCACCTACAGTATTTCCCCCTTTGAGCAGAGGGCTTTCCCAAACTACTTTTCCAAGGGAATCCCAAATGTGTGGAGGCGATTCAAATCATCTGTATTCAAGGTTGCACCACGTAAGTCATTTTGGGCCAAAATTAAGCAATGCACAGGCGTTAAAAATGTGTGTGTGTGTATATATATATATATGTTAGTATTTTCACCCAAAAAATTGGTTTTAAGCCAGTTATTTATATATTTTGCTGTAGTGTGTCAGTAGGAAATATCAGTTTACATTTCCAAACATTCCTTTTGCCATTAATTGTAATAATCCAGTGAGATTTTTGTGATCCACACAAAGATCTGGGGCCATATTCACAAAACATTTTATCTTACCACTAAGAGTTCTCCTAAATGGCAGTAAAAGTTCTTAGTTAAGAGTTTTCTCTGAAAACCTATTCACAAAGCTGCTGAGGCCAACTTTTACTAAGGAATTGAGAGAAGTCTTCAGCTAAGAGAAAGGGCAGGGTTGACCTCGTTTACTAACTATGCACACAGTGATTGGCTGATGGGGAATGGGTCTCTGTCAGTGATTTAATCATAGAAATATTTCATAGAAAAGTTTTTTTGCCATATTCAAATAAAGATTTTAAAATAAAAATGTTGCCATATTCAAATAAAGGTTTTAAAATGTAGGCTAAGTGTCACTAATTAAATTAGTATATGCTCAGCTAATTATCAGCCTCTTACATGTCTGCATCTCGAGAAATTGCAGAATTCAAGCGATAAATCATGTTTTATAAACAACGTTCAGGAGGAGCAAGTTCAAACAGTATCTAATCAGCTCGAGAGGAGGTATATATGCATAGCCAGAGCCGGCCCTAGACATTTGGGGGCCCTAAGCAAAATTTGGTTGGAGGCCCCTTTGACCGTTTTAAGGCCTAAAGAAAAGCAATGACTACCTTATAACTATACCATACTATATAACTATATTATACTGTATATACTATGTTTGATGTCTAACAGGAAAATTATGAGACCACTGAGCTGAATGGCAGTGCAAGACACACACACACACTGATTAACTTGCTGAATAAAAAGACAGATAAAGTGATTATCACTGAACAAAGATACATTTTTATTGACACCAGAGTATAAGAGTCACAAACTACAGCACATATACACTCACCGGCCACTTTATTAGGTACCCTATGCTAGTAACGGGTTGGACCCCCTTTTGCCTTCAGAACTGCCTCAATTCTTCGTGGCATAGATTCAACAAGGTGCTGGTAGCATTCCTCAGGGAGTTTGGTCCATATTGACATGATGGCATCACACAGTTGCCGCAGATTTGTCGGCTGCACATCCATGATGCGAATCTCCCGTTCCACCACATCCCAAAGATGCTCTATTGGGTTGAGATCTGGTGACTGTGGAGGCCATTTTAGTACAGTGAACTCATTGTCATGTTCAAGAAACCAATTTGAAATGATTAGAGCTTTGTGACATGGTGGAAGTAGCCATCAGAGGATGGGTACATGGTGGCCATAAAGGGATGGACATGGTCAGAAACAATGCTCAGGTAGGCCGTGGCATTTAAACGATGCCCAATTGGCACTAAGGGGCCTAAAGTGTGCCAGGAAAACATCCCCCACACCATTACACCACCACCACCAGCCTGCACAGTGGTAACAAGGCATGATGGTTCCATGTTCTCATTCTGTTTACTCCAAATTCTGACTCTAACATCTGAATGTCTCAACAGAAATCGAGACTCATCAGACCAGGCAACATTTTTCCAGTCTTCAACTGTTCAATTTTGGTGAGCTCTTGCAAATTGTAGCCTCTTTTTCCTATTTGTAGTGGAGATGAGTGGTACCCGGTGGAGTCTTCTGCTGTTGTAGCCCATCCGCCTCAAGGTTGTGCGTGTTGTGGCTTCACAAATGCTTTGCTGCATACCTCGGTTGTAACGAGTGGTTATTTCAGTCACTGTTGCCCTTCTATCAGCTCGAACCAGTCTGGCCATTCTCCTCTGACCTCTGGCATCAACAAGGCATTTCCGCCCACAGAACTGCCGCTCACTGGATGTTTTTTCTTTTTCGGACCATTCTCTGTAAACCCTAGAGATGGTTGTGCGTGAAAATCCCAGTAGATTAGCAGTTTCTGATATACTCAGACCAGCCCTTCTGGCACCAACAATCATGCCACGTTCAAAGTCACTCAAATCAACTTTCTTCCCCATACTGATGCTCGGTTTGAACTGCAGGAGATTGTCTTGACCATGTCTACATGCCTAAATGCACTGAGTTGCCGCCATGTGATTGGCTGCTTAGAAATTAAGTGTTAACGAGCAGTTGGACAGGTGTACCTAATAAAGTGGCCGGTGAGTGTATATATTTATATAAAATTTAAATTAAATAGAGCAAATAGAATAACATTTAAATATTATATTATATAAAATAATAAATAGATTTTTCAAATAAACAAAATTAACAATAACATCTAAAACACCACAAAGAAGATCAATAGTAACAATATTAAGAATAAGGTAACATTTCAATATAACTATTAAAATCCAATCCAAATAAAGAAAATAATTATACATAAAGTTAGACTTAATTTTTAAAATGCAGAAGGTTATCATTTTACAGCCCCTTTATACTCACCAACAACTGGAGCTTTGCTTACTGGCAGCATATACTTTAATAGTGCTCCTAAGGGGACATAAGGAGTAAACTAATGTTAGCCCTTTAGTGTAGAATCCAAACTGGGTTTATATTGTTCTGTTAAATGCTTTAACAGTAACACCACAGCAAATGGTATAGGCCTAATACTAAACCAATTTTATGCAGCATGTTATTAGCATGTAAGTTAAACAACTGTAGAAAATTAATACAAGCACGATTTAGGGCTACTCTGAGTTTAGGGAGTACTCTGGTTTTGGGCTAAATTCCGAACTCGGAGCGTCCCCTCAGACAGCACGCCAAATATGCTTATTTTACTCATTTACTCTATTCGATCATTTGTAAGTGTGAAATTATGAAAAGTTTATTTATTTATAAAAGATTTATTTTTGGTGTTTTATCGTAGATTCAAATCTATAAATCAAAATATGTATTGCATTTATGAAGAAAAGGTTCAGCGCCCAAGACTCTTTTGCCATTGCCTCAATGGTGTACAGTGTCTTTGGCTGGATTGCCAGCTACAGCCATTAGAATTCTGTGTCATTCGGTCTTAGTGACTTCTTCTCTTGACTACTTCTAACGTTTCACAGATTTAGGAGCTAGTTTTAGCGCTAAAATGCTTTATAAAATACTCTTAGAGCAAAAATTTCTGGGCCCATATTCATAAAGAATCTTAATGCAAAAAGTAGCTCCTAGTGACAAAATTCTAAGAAAATTCGCAGAAATCTGGGCGTTTACTCTTAAAATTAAAGAAAAAATTCTAGTAAAGAAAAAAGTAATTCAGAAAGCATCTTCACCCTTAAAAGAGGTCTTAAGGTCAAAATTGTTAGGAGTACGGATGAGGACTTTTAAGAGGCTTAAGAGTTTCTTTAGCAGAGGAGAAAATGACAGAACGATGATGGCCTAGTGTTCATCCACTAACTGGTCTAACAGTAAACACGGTTCTTCTGACCAGTCGGGCTTTCTCGTCTTTCTTGTTTTTTAATTCATGTTTGCTATATTAAAACCAACATTCAAACCACCACTTAAATAGATAGCAATCAGTGTAATTGGAAAGAGTGGAACAATTTTTATCATTCTAAGCCAATCAAATACCTTAGGAAATTAACAGCAATGTAAAAAAAAGAATTTATATACATAAATATAATGTGCGTGTGTGTGTGAGTAAACTCTATACTTAAAATGGCTCTTTTTTTCCTTCTTGGACAACCAACCAATCACAGTCTTCAAAAGATTGTGTCATACATAGCAACGGGGTCAGCCCCCCCTCCTCACTAAGATGCGAGTTTTTGTCTTTTCCTTTCTTCAGAGTTGCTCTCAGATCGTTCCCGAATCGCTCTTAAGCTAAGACTCCTACGTAAAAGTTTTTAAGCTAAATTAAGAGTTTTCTGAGAGGATTCTTAGAATCTTTATGAATACGGGCCCTGATTTTTAAAATTAGGACTGACATGCCCATTATTTTTAAGAGTTTCTCCTAAATCGGAAAGTTAGGAGCTACTTTTAGCCTTAAAATGTTTTGTGAATGCGGCCCCTGAAGAAACAGAAAAAACTGATACAGACTAAATCCTGAAAAACCGTGGCAATGTCTCCAAGATGCTTGAAGAAACCTTCCTGCAAAGCTACATTACTGTGAAAAGTTTTAGACGCTTGTGTAAAAATGTGAAAATGCTTTCACAAAATAATGTCATAAATAGATTTTATTGATTAATTAACTTCTATGAACTAAATCAATATTTGGTGTGACCACCACTTGCGTTTAAAACAGCTTTTGTCCTCAGTACACTTGTACAGGTAGCTTTGCAGGCAGGTTTCTTCAAGCATCTTGGAGACATTGCCACGGTTCTTCTGGATTAAGTCTGTCAGTTTTTTTCTGTTTCTTCATGTAACCCCAGATGGACTTGATGGTGAGATCAGATCTCGGTGTGGAGCACCGACTGTTGTCAGACTCATTGTGCATACAAAAATCTCACTGGATTGTTACAATTAATGGCAAAAGGAATGGTTGGAAATGTAAATGATATTTCCTAATGACACAGCTACAGCAACAAATATAAATAACTGGCTTAACCATTTTTCTGGGTGAAAATACTAACATGCCTAAGACTTTTGCAAGGTACTATATATATATATATATATATATATATATATATATATACATACACATGTCTATACTATTCTAGCTATAGATTAAAGCAAACATTGTGTGTGACTAAACTTCTCTACAAACCTGCATCTCTATTTACAGCCATGATTCTGATGTACCTGACCTACACATGGGGCAATCATGTTCATGAACAGGGCAAAAGAAAGAACCCCGCAGACTATGAGAATGAACAGTGAAATCGCCCCGCTGAAGATGTGTCCTTGTGTAACTTCTTGTTTCTGAAAAATTCATCAATAAAGAAAATATTTATGGGAAAAATGGATTTCTGACTTGCTGCCATAACTGTCCACTTAATCAACATGATTCAATTTAGTAGCTTGTTTAATAAAGTACCCTTGTGATGCATCACTTGAGATTATCCTCTCATTTGTAACGGTCATCAGAAATATTTGAATGACGGGGAGTCTACTGCTGAGTTTAAAATTTTTTTTTTTTTTTTACTCCTACTGGATACCAAGGCACTTTTTCTTTTTAATGTGAAGGCACAAATCAGTAAGTTTTGATGCATTCTATAGAGATTTATTTTTACTTTTTGTATACTAATGATTTTTTATACATGAAAATTAAATTTTCATTTTCTATTACGATTAGTTTGTCTGTTGTCTGCCATGTAAAGATTTCTGAAGTTTAACAAATTTCACTAAAATAACTGGGGTGGACAATACTTTTTCAATGTGAATCGCCAATGCAGAAATCTGACAAATGTACCATTTTATTCAATACACTACTGTTAAAGTCCCTTTGCTACCATTCAGCAGTTTGGGGTTGGGAAGATTTTTTAAATGTTTTTGAAATGTCTCTTGCTCACTAAGACTGCATTTATTTGATTAAAAATACAGTAAAAAAAGTAGTATTACAATTTAAAATAAATTTTATATTTATAATATATATAAATAATATATTTTAAAATATAAGGGTGATGCAGAGCTGAATGTCTTAAGTGTCTCATGATCGTTCAGAAATCATTCTAATATGTTGATTTGGTGCTCAAGAAACATTTCTTATAATTTTTGGAAACAATTTTTTAAAGGATTCTTTAATTCCAAAGAATATTTTTAATGTGTTGTGTAATTCATTGTCACCTTGGCTTAGATGCATTTAATGTGTCTTTGCTAAATAAAAGTATTAAAAAATAAAAGTATATTGACCCCAAACTTTTGAACGATATACCCGCAAACAATATTAATTTCCATTCCTTTCAGTGTAATATAACCAACGCCGTTGTTGTCATGCGCTTCTGTACACTGGCGCTGCCTGTTGAAATGCGCATGCTCAGTTTAGCTCGGCGTCATTCTGACTTCACAACGACGCATTCCGTTAAAACCACATAAATAGGAAAATGGGCAGCAAAGACACCTAAAGAGTTTATAACTAAAAACATCTAAGAAATCGGGTTTTTGCTACAAGTACATGTGTAACGGCTGCACTTCATCGGTGAGTTTGTTTGGTGGGCTGAATTCTCATGTCATTTTGATTAAACGAAATATTTCCCCTTTTCAAATAAACCAGACTGTTATCTGTCGTATTTAAAAGTGAGTTCAAAGTTAGTTGAGCACACGGGATAGGACAGTAATAAGCATGGGTAACTATGACTATTGTCCAGACTTGCTTCTGGGATTTACACACTATTGTGTCGATTCACAATGACTAAGCATTGGCTTTTACGTCCCTCCCATTAGTTCAACTACTGCATTGGCCGGGGTGTTGGCTTCCTGCTTATGGAGATATTAAGCCCGTTGGCTCGACTGCGAGCGTCTTTTCTTACTCTTGGACTATCGCTGTTGTCTTCTCGTAGACTCATCAGTCGCAGCATGGCCTCTGAATCCGTCACGCGCTTTGATTTTCTGGTGATTGGCGGAGGGTCCGGAGGGCTGGCCGGTGCGCGGCGGGCGGCTGAACTCGGTGCCACAGCAGCCGTGATCGAAAGTCACAAACTCGGAGGTACCTGCGTGAGTAAAGACCATCCTGCTCCTGCAACACCACATTTCCCTTAGAGTCCTATAGATGTGTTTAGACGAGTTATTTACAGTATTTGGACGCTGGATTCGTCACATGAATAGAGGTGTTTGGGAAGAATCCAGATCCAGCTCTTTTTTGTGTAATGGTTTAGGTCCAGACCAGCACCTATGCATTTTTTTGTCTGCTGATATTATTGACGTTGGCAATTAAACTTCTCTTCTGCTGCAGGTGAATGTTGGTTGTGTTCCTAAAAAGGTATATATTTTGACTTTTATCATTACACTTAATTGATTGCCTGATGCAAGCAGAACTGTTAATTGTGTAATTTGCTTGCTTCCAGGTTATGTGGAATACATCCACTCATGCAGAGTATCTCCATGATCATGAAGACTATGGATTTGAGGGAGCAAAAGCACATTTCAGCTGGCAGTAAGTTAGATACTTTCTTGGGGGTTTTCTTCTGGGTGGTTTGGTTTTTGTAGATAGGATGATGAGTATATAGGATTATGGCAAGCCATTCTTTTAAAATATAAAAAAAAAAAAACTATTTTATTTTTGTGTTCAATTGTAATTTCTGTATTTTTTGTAAACAGTACTGCATACCTAGGGAAATTACATTTGCGCTGTCAGTACACATATTTTGTGCACACAGAAAACAGCGTGCGGTTACTATTTTGAGTTCTCTTTCATGTCTTGCACTTGATCGAAAAAATACACACAACAAAAGTGTCAAAATGCCCGCCTTGCCGAGTATTCACGTAAACACTGTTTGTTATGTCTTACCTGAACATAAACAGATGAGAAAGAAAATACATGTGTAACAGTCCGTGTATTCTTTCTTAAAGTGACAGCAGCCTAATATTCCTGCTGCCACCTGGGTCATTAATGTTAATCAAACAAAATTAATTTGTATCTTTGACTTTATGTTGTATTATTTTGAGCTGTTGCTTGTAATTTGTTTATTTGTTCTTATTTTATAACTGAAGACTCACTTGTCTTCAATAATGCTTGAACTGTAGGCCTAATAGTTAGGCTTTTTGCTGTGGTATTGAAATTGGAATCAATCGAGAATTGTGAAAATGAAAAATATTTTGGTGGCTTATTTATTAGAATACAATTTTACATGGGTCAAAACAACAACAAAACAAACTTTTATTTATTTATTTATTTGTGAGACCACGTGAGTGGCGTGGCAGGATTTTGAACATTCTCCACAGTCATAGTTAGGTGTCGCTGACAGATGTTAAGTGGTGCCGCCAGTGTGCATGCACTCACAGAAAACAATGCATTTACAATTTGATATGGCATTCCAGTGTGCGACCCTCTTTATTCATTGTTTTGCTAATGTTGGAGACTCCTAGTTGGAGGACATAATTTATGAGTCATAACCCGCCAAATTGGCTGGTGAGTTTACCTGCCATGGTTGTTCATTTGAAGGGTTGACATGTTAATTTTAAACCCTGTTCATAACATAATAGTAATTATTCTTTTGTAGTCACAATCCCAAAAGTAACAAGTAAGTAATATTGTTTCTGGTAACAAAATTTGCCATTAAATTCTATGGGAATCTGTAGTTTAGATATCTTAGTTCTGACTAGCATGTATTTAAACTGTTGGTGGTACTTAATCTAGTTTAACTTGTAATTAGTTATATTTGTTAAGAGTAATTAAAAAAAAGTACATATTGCACTCTTACTAGTTAATAGAAATTAAAAAAGAATTACTAGTAACATCAGTAAAGACACTAGGTTTAAGGGATAGGCTACATGTAATGACTTGCCGTAGAGGATATTCTTTCTGTAAGAACAGAAGTAGGCTAATTCTTGTCACAAAAAGGATTTTTACTCTTGCGATAGTTGAGGATAGTCAAGTTCCTGCTCGCTCTGATTCGTTACAGCTTTCAGTATTTGTTTTGCTTCCCTTTTGTGGTAAAGTCAGTACAGCTTTGGGTGATCTTGTCTGACAAAAGCATGAGGTGGAGTAATTTGTTTGACTAGAGGTGTGTTATGCTGTGGAGAGTTCAGCTATCAGGATTTCTAGTGATATGAAAGATAAATTAATATTTAAATGAATAAATGTCACTTCTTTTGGTGTGTGTATTTTCAGATTCATTAAACGCAAAAGGGATGCTTACGTTAGTCGCCTGAATCAGATTTACCTGAGCAACCTTGACAAGGTAGGCTGCGTTATGTTACTTTCCAGTCAGCAAATTGAATGTAAAAGTGATTTGTGGAAGATGAAAGACAAAATCTGTTTTGTTTAGTTTTTAACAAAATTTAACATGGTTTTCATATCATGGAGAATCATATTTTCTTGTTCTTTATAGTACTTGTACTATGAAAGCTTTACATAGAAATCTTAAAGGCATACCAGCAAAATAGTCCCGTTTAAGCTTCAGAGACAGGGTGAAAAATGATATTTTTTTAATGCAAATGCTGTACTAAGCAGACCTTGAGGAAAAACAAATTAATAGCGTTATGAAAATGCATGATATGGCCTCTTTAAACATTTAGAATTGGTATTGACGTGACTGAGATGTTGTTTGTGGTTGTTCATAGGCCAAAATTGAGTCCATTCATGGCTATGCAAGGTTCACAGATGACCCTGAACCTACAGTTGAAGTCAATGGAAAGAAATACACAGCCACCCATATCTTAATCTCCACTGGCGGTCACCCGTCCACTGTCAGTGAGGATGATGTGCCAGGTGGGTTTATGTTTGTTCATTATGAAAAATATACTTCCTTCTGCTTTACTTCTCAATGCCATCCTTATTTGCACTTGCCATTAAAGGGATAGTTCAGCCAAAAATGTAAATTTTGTCATCACTTGCTCAACCTCATGTTGTTCCATACATGTATGTATGAGTTTCTTTCTTCTGTTGAACACATGAAGATATTTTAAAGAAAGTTGGTAACCTGACAGTTGACTTCCATATTATTGTTTTCCGACTATGGAAGTCAATGGTTAAATGTCAACTGTTTGATTACCAACATTCTTCAAAATATCTTCTCTTTTGTATTCAGCAGAAGAAAGAAATTCATACAGGTTTTGAAAAACTTGGCGAGGGTGAGTAAGTGATGACGAAAGTTTTATTTTTGCGTGAACTATCCTTTAAAGTGATTTAACTTATTTTTGTCACTTTTTTAAATCTGCATTTTGTAAATTTCAATGTTATTGCAGGGGCCAGTTTTGGCATTACCAGTGATGGATTCTTTGAACTTGAATCTTGCCCTAAGTAAGTGATACTTGTGATAAGTGATACACGTACTTATATTATTGTGTTTTCTTGGCTTATCATTAA